GCTTCCTGACATTGTTTTCATACCCAAGCCAGTTCTTTTCCAAATGGCCCCATGCAGTCGGCCAATAAGGCCTTGATAGACGGGACAGCCACTTCATGACTAGAATGCAGACAAGAATCCTGGAGATGCGATAAAAGCAGATTCGAATCTTCCTGTAAGAGCTAAAACCTTAGGTCATTCCACGGTATTACGCAAGTGATGAATCATCAATCCACTTATATCCTCAAAGACATATTACCACTCTTTTCATGATATTGCTGCATAGCCTTAACGGCGATGTAAGTTTAACGGAACGGCATCCAACAAACACAAATGTGCCAACCATATACCAAGACGGCTCCGTTCATATCAAATAATTAATGTTTGAATTTGGAAATTGCAAATACAATTTTGGTAATACATAGCAAAAAAGGATAACACCATCTAGCCGTCAATGGCTGATACCGCATTGGTGAAATTTACCTTTAAGGATATATACGTTATATACCCAACGGAATAAACTTTGTCTGATTTGATGAATATGGGTGACAGATTTGGCAGGTATAGGTAAGCTCTTGCCAAATAAAGTGGAAAGATTTTTTTATTGTTTGATAAATTACACATGTCATTGAATAAGATTGTGGTAGAACAATATAAATAACACGATTACTGTTAATCACTGTTTTCCCTATGTTGGGAAGTAACCTCTACCTCCACTACAGTGGGAGGTAGCCCCATGATTTGTGCCACCAAATGTGATTAAATCCTTTTTGTTGAGCAAAAACGGATTGGCTCGATAAACTTATACTACCAAATATGATAGAAATGATGAACTAGTGAGGGTTACCTTAATATTAATATCCAGGCCTGTATCAGTTGGGGTACCTCCACGTGTTTAGCAAATGACTGTCGCTGAGAAAAAGGCATTGTATTCTTTAGAATTGACATTATTGTAAAGTAAACTTCGAATAATTTTACCAAAAAGTCAGGAAACAATCAAATTTCTGCTTCCAAGATTATGCTAAAATGCAGCAAATGGCAAGGGAAACAAAGTAGGATTTAGACACAAATCCAATGTCATTTTAAATTTGCTACAATTATTGTTATTCTAACATCACAGACGTGCTGTCTTTGTACATGCGCGATATTAAAGTTTCAAGCACACCCCGCACCCGCAACTCATATTCACCCTAACGTTACGATAATCAGTAAAAAAATAATGTTTATAAAGATAAGTTTAATATTAATAAGAGCTTGTTTAATAATTATAAATGAAAAGTGAATCTATTATCAAAACTTTAAACGATCGAATTAAATTTCCTTGAAATGGCTTATATGAAGGTATTCTGCCTTTTAGACTGTAGAATGTGAAACTGTACTTCGTGTTACATTGCGGACTACCGAGATATACTGTAAATTTCCAACCTTGTAGATAGAAAATCTCTTTACTATCTTCGATGGATTAGGAAGAGAAAGTTACTGGACACACCGGAGAGACGATGTGGGAGATAAATGTGGTTACGGGGTTATGTTGGTATGTATCAGCAAAACTCGTGTTCAGTATCATTTTAGGCATTCGCTGAGACCACGTCAAATCGGTTTTTTCTTTTTCCTCAAGAGTTCATACATTCTCTGGTCAAACTTGATCAAATGCACACAGATCTCTATAAAAGTATATTCCTCAACTTTACGAACGCTTTATTTGAATTTTTAGTTTTAGTATTTCCGAGTTTACTTTTTACATCAACGTGACCTTGATCTCAGCAGCGGTATGCATAGCAAGCCAGCAGAAAATTATCGAGCCTGTAAGGAAATCATTGCAAGTAAATTAAATTGACAGAGAATATACTGATACTTTAACATTCTATCACATTACTTAGGTAAAAATAAAATGTTGTGAAAAAATTAAGAAATACTTAAGTTGATAATTTTATTATGTTTTAATTTATTCTGCTCAAAGCTAAATACACGTGGGGGCAACAGCATTGAACGGTCGTAATTTATTTAATTCCATAAAATTTTTATATAAAATAAAAATAATAACTTTGGACCACTTACTTCATCAATTATCTAAATAAAGTATTAATATTAATGTTTATTTAATATAACGCGTCATGATGAGCAGATCTATAAATAGTAGAAAACCCAATTTTCTACTTTGGCGTATAAAAAGAGTTTCGCTAAAGAGCTTATTCCTCATAATTATAATTACGGTAAAAAATTAATCGCAAAAATGATAAGATACTATCGCAAACAGGTTTTCGCAGCCTACTACTATATATCAGGAAAACTTTCGCAAATACGATCAGTAAAAAAATAGTGGAATATACCATAGCTTGTTATTATCATGCCCAACCAAATTTAAGCTGTGATTGCTGCAAATGGAGGAAATACTGAATATTGTCATTTGCTTTAAGCAAATTTTCAATATTTTAATTAGAACTGTGCAATACTTTCCATATGCGCCGATGCAAAAAATTAAGTTTTTACTAATTTATTGTTCTGCTCATAGTGACACATTATATTAAATAGACATTAATATTTCATTTAGACAACTGAATGAAGTAAGTGGTCCAAAAGTCAGTTTTTATTTCATATGGAACTAAGTAAATTACGACGCAATACTTTTGTCCCTCCCTCCACACTGTATGTCTGTTAATATTTTTATAATGCTCAATTCTTTCTCTTAATTTTTTTCTTTGTTTTCACATTATTTTTGTCCACTTACCTCTGTGCTTTAGTATATTCCATTTTAGTTGCATTTTTATATGGTCTAGCAGCTCTTTGAATATGCTTCATATTTCGTAATATAGACCAAGAATTTTATTGTGCATAAGTATTGCTTTATTCAGCTCTCTTGATAAAGTCAAGGTTTACATTTGTTTTAGCAAGTCAGGTAGTGCACTGGCTTATGTGCTTGTTTACTTGCTTTCCATATATTCAACAGCTTTTCATATTTTGCATAACATAGAGCAAAATTAAATTGACACAAGCATGTCCTTGCAAGTATACAATAATTTAATATAACTGGTTTTTTTCTACACAACAAGATTATGTAGTGTACCAACATGTCCTGTTCAGCAAAATTTTGATATCGTTAATTTAACTGCTTTTTGTTCGTTTCTTCCCACTTTAATTTGTTTACAGTAGATAACAATAAGCAAGAATAAATTGTGCATCAACATCTCTTTTGTTCAGTAGCTCTGCGATACGTTGAACACACGGTCATAGCCACAGCGAAAGGGGTCAGGTAAAAATGTGTAGGAGAGTGCATTATAAATGAACGATGCTGCAATAAAGTCGTATGATTTAGTATTGTTATGAATACTAAAAGATCATGCCATTAGAATATTAATAAAAAAATTCATCTGTAAAATTTTCTATAACAAAGGCCATTGTCGGCATACATTTTATCTCAAGATTTTACCCTAGATTGAAGGAATCTGATTATTATTGATGAAGATTCAATCATTGCTACAATTCGAAAGTAACGGCCTGTGTCCAACTATCAACTTCAGTAAGAAAGCTTAGAAGTGTTGAAAGGTACTGATTGTTTACAATAGCGTGACTTTAAAATAGATAGTTCTGTGTTATTTTGTTTTATGCCAAGTTTCATTGCCAAGCACAGTATATAAACAAAAACAGCAAGCTAATTACATATGCTAAAAAAGTCTGCCGTTTAAAATAACAAGGAGCGGGATGAGAACCTCACAATGTCAAATAAGAAAAGATAAAATAACCCACGAGACAAATCACTATAATAGTTTTTTACAAGCTAGAGTTTCTAAATATTATAAAATTTATTAAGTGAGGTTCACACCAGAGCCCAGCCCGCTTATTGACTATGTTTATTTCTTTGTTCCAATCGTCGGGAGCTAGCCGAATAAATTATTGACGATAAATTGTAATAGTAATGTATAAAACTTGCCTATTATAAAATTAAATTGCTAACAGTATTATCAATTATATGATGTCCCAATGCCAGGATACTTAAAAAAAAAAAAAAGGAACAGTATTATCAATTATATGATGTCCCAATGCCAGGATACTTAAAAAAAAAGGATACAAAGTGCTTCCGCGTATTAAAATAAATAAATCAACTCTTTGGGCATACATATACAAAGAGAAAATGCTTATATTCACAGACGCAAGATTACGCAAGATTTCAAAACGATCGGAAAGCTATTAGTCTTCGTGTCTTCTTTTCAAATTATAAGATATTTGTTGTTTCAGATAACTAATAAATCCTTGATAATGACAACGATATCAGCAGATAATGTTTTAAGAAAATTTGACTTATGCTTATTATTCCGCCATAATTGTTCAGCCTGAACTTTTTCACATGCGGACTGAGAAGAGAAATGCCACAACTCTAGCTGCTATTGCCTTTGCGTAATTAGTTTATAACCACAAAAATTTGGCACATCTTTTAATTTACTTTAGATATTTGATATCAGACATTTAGGTTGGCTTTTCTCCCATTGCTGTCTTTTCTCCCATTGTTGTCTTTTCAAGAGAGTCTAATAATATTCGGCTTTGGCAACGCGTGAACACAAGTGTAAGGTGTTGTGTGTGGTATATAGTCTTTGAAGACTTGCGATCTTTATTAATTGAACGTTAGACTACTGTACATAGTATGTGGAATTGTAGTAAATTGGGTATTATTACACGTAACTTTGACGAGTCAATGTGAGTTCGCATCGCAATAAGTCTATAACACGTGATTCAATTGTACAGCTTGCTGTTGGGCATGATCATTAATTACCAATCTCAAACTGTCCGTAGTATGATATGTCGTTACGATCTTGCCGTCGAGGCACTTATCATGTATTCGGGCGACTGACAAATTATGTGTAGTTGTTAACGATATACTGGTGTAATCGATACTGTCGGAATAGTCAACTGAAAATGACTTAGTGTGAATAGTTGTGTGCTATCACGAATAAGAGTTTTACGAAAGTCAAAACAAAAAAAGCGAATTGAATCCAAAGCAATCTAGTTGACCGAGTTTTTTGGCTGTATCAAACGTAAATTCTCTTATGCACGTCATATACACAGTTGGACAAGTCAGAGAGCAGATATCTTGATTGACTCTGCCTGTGTTGCATTGGTCTTATGTACATGTAAGGCATTTCAGACTATCATAGACTTCATATTCTTGCGACATGTGAGTTGATGGGCTGCGCGTTGATACCGTAAGTCAGACGCATCATCATCAGCGTTCTTATTAATCGCATCTACCACGCCAAAGGCATTTTTACAGCCCAGTAACGTGTATACCCCTACAGCACCCTCGGGAATACCCATAAAATAGACGACTTCCATATCTGTGAAAAGGCACTTTACTTTTCCTATGAGGATTACAATGGGTAAGGCATCCGAGGTTCTGCCGAAGCACCTATAACAAAAAAACCAAAGAAGTTACAGTCTGATAAAACATGGGATTGGTGGAAATGCGAGATTGGATAGATGGTTGCGAATGGAGGGTAAATGGATAGATAAGTGCGGTGATCGATAAGATGATGAGCAAGTGACAGAGTATATAAAAAATAGCAAGTCAGAAATGAAGATACGGGCATGAAGGATTAATCATTAGATAAAAGTGTTCGCATGAGTACTTAGATTTACTGAAATGAATGAGACATGAAAATGGTGTCGGGTACGGATAAGGGAGAGATGGGCTGGGGAGCGATTAAGAACGCAATAAAGTAATAAGCGACAGAAATTGAAGTAGCTTACTTGTTCCGATGCGCCTTAAAAGCTCATCCGCAATCTCCAGGAGATGCGGGACTTGAGTGAAAATGTGGAATGTACAATTCACTTAGAGTCAAGTACAGCACTTTTTACAATACAGAAACCCCGAAATCGTCGAGCCATAAGTGGGCAGGGAGCGCTAGAAGACTGTAAAGCCATCGCATTACAGAAATTGTTACGGAAAGAAAACTCGCTTCGCCTTTAGGAATCTGCCTCGCCTAACGCTTGTAGTGAAACCAGTGGAGAGAAGCGGCATAACTTGCACGTATTGACGGCTGTTAATACGTCTCTACTTCTCAGAACAAAAATTGCGCATGACGTAATATGCTATTATTCCCTTATTATCTAATCTAATCATGTCAACAATATGTCATCCCTCTTGTTCGATGGTTTATTCTTAGAATAAGCGGACTTTCTAGTCCGTATGAATTGGTAACATCTATGAACGCACATATAATGTCCATGACGCATGAATAGAAGAAAGTTGTGTAAAGAAAATAATTTGATGATGTGACTGATAAGGAAACTCGTTTGTCACACGAGCGTATAGGTATTGTTTTGTTTCAACCAAATGGTTTATTGTTAATTGCCTAAATTAGCTACCTACAAAAGCACATGAAATATCTCTCTCTAAATTTGTGAGCATTGCCGCATAATGGATACAGGAGTATAAGTATTACCGTTCAATTCAAAAAGCTTTATACGCATTATGTACATTCGGTGATTCATGTTATTGATGAAAGTTTCTTACAATGACTTGCTCCTTTTAGCATGTCGGAATATTTTATCCGTCGTCGCACGATTCATGTTATATGGCGTATGGTCAATTCCCGGAACTAGCTTTAAAAATTAGGTAAGATAAAAGAAGGGGGAACAAGGCGTCAACAATGCTAATATTTGAAACTTGTGTAAAATGACTTATCGTTGCATTGCAAGCAACCAAGACATCAATCTCAAGAATCACCTTGGAGTCAATTCACTAATGCTCTGTGACATGTAATTATATAAATGGTTTAAATTCAAACAGTCACTTATACTGCTATAAGGTTCACATTATTATTCAAAGTTTATTGTAAAAGAATTGTCACACCCAGTTTATAATAATGACAATATTTTTAAAGTTATTCTCTCTCATTAAAAATTGATGTTACCAATCGCTGACTTGAATGCGAATTTAATCATTGTATACCTCATATCAGAGAACCATTTTCCTGTTTAAAACATAACAATAGTTCCATTTATGACAAGGCAAAAGAATTTTTGCGTAAAGATAAAGAATATTTTGAACTCTTTGTTGACCTTGAATGGGATGCAATCATGATAACTCGATTAAGAAGAAAAAACCGGGTTAGTTTGTTTTATGTTATGAAGCTAATTCAGCAAATCTATGGGAGAAAACAAATAATTATAATTTACTTTAGAAGAAAACTGAATGGCTTGCAATTCTTGGGGCTTTCAAACTCAAGGCGTTGCAATGACTTTTACTAAATTTATCGTTATTATTAGAGCCTGGATAAAGTAGGTATTTTGAATTTCAAAAAACAAACATTCATTTGAAGCGCCAAAAAGCCAAAGCCTATTTCCCTTATTCATGTTACACTTTTGGGCTTTTATCGTTTGTCCGTTTGCAAAGAGGGACTGATTTGTCTTAAGACTCAAAATTCATATTTATATCATGCCAGTCAAAGAATACATTTTACAAAGCTCGACATTATTGACGAATAAACATCTAACATAAAATGCCGATAAAAAAGTAGTAAAGCAGTAAAAAGTTATTAATAAAAAGTTATTAGTAAAATATATGTTAAAAAATTTAAGATAATGAGCCAAAACATATAAAAAATATACTGTCGATTTGTTGATTTGTTGATTGCTGCATTCGCGAACATTTAGAGAGAGTAACTTGGAAAACTTAAAGAACTTGCAGACTTGAGATTAGATAAGAAAATCATATCAGCGATATGCCCTCACAAAAAATCCATGTTGGGTAGTACAACAAATGATCGTTAAATATTACCCCTGAAATTTGTTCCATAACGAAAAGCCATGTCTGCTTCCCTGCATGCACGGTGACCTGTCTATTTATAGTACGTTAATAACAATAATCTTTGTTAGTTGGTCTTCATTCACACGCAACTGGTGGTCAAAATTTCTTTGTTCGAACCATGAATGACCCGGTTTTGCGGTTCAATATTAAACATTGTTTAGTGTTTGATTGATAAACCATCACATTCTGGACCTGTGAATATGATTAATTCGGTAGCAACACCCCTTGAAAATTTGCCTTGCCCTTTTTTTGAATACTCTCAAATGTTCTGATAGGTGCGCAATTCTGTAGTGAACGGCTCTTTACATCTATTCATATTAACTGCCGAAAGCAGAAACAATGAACATCCAGTATAGGAAGTTTATTATTTCATTATCAACAATGATTAATTAATTTGTTTGCATACATATGACCTTTATTGAATACTTAACTTTCGGCAACCAACAATTGTGCCGAGTTCATGTATCGAGTACATAATATCTGTTGTGCATGTCATCCTCTTGTCATAGCTGTTTGTTGTGCTCGTCCGCCTGACTTTGTTATGGCCGTTAAAGTACATGGGTATAGACTTGGATTGCCATTTAAAGTTGCGTGACACCCCATGTGATCAAAATGTCATTTATGAAAGGTCTGATGATGCGGCAGTGACCAAACTATTCAGAAACTTAAACCTTAAAAAGAATTGTAGGATCAGATTTTGCCACGTTGCAAATACATCGAATTGTAAAGTGATCAGCGAATAATGTATAACCGCTGGTTGGCAAAATATCGGTAAGGTGAAACTTTGCTGGTTAGACGGAACTATTCAACAGGATATACCACAAAAAAAGAACATGATACCGTGATTTTTTTAATTACATATATTTATTTATAATCTTTATTTGGAGATTATTTATTTATAGCATAATAAGTAAAAAGAAAAGGGCTTCTGCAAGCATTAACGAGAAAATACTTAATTTTAGGGTTTACCTAACTTTTTTCATATCAATTCATATATTAGTGCCAATCCATATGTTAGTGCCAATCCATATGTTATAATCAATTTCATATCTAATTTTATTGGACTATCTTATCATCTTAGATTATCTTACGTAGACAAGAACTTTGCCTGCTAAAAAAAGAAAACAGAGCCAATCAAATCAGTCCAGTAAAATCAACTGAAAAGTTGATACTCATATCCGCTCTGAAACAGCGGATACTCATAATGCGGAACGTAAAGGTTCTCTTCCGTAAACAGGGGAGGCGGCTCTGAGGAAAAGCCCACTGATGATGGTATTTCTTCTATTTGCACCTTTGCGGGGGGTTGAAGGTCAACCCGATCAACCCGGGTTTGAATGTTGACTCTCATGACGGGTTTTTGCCTCCGGGGATGGAAGCGATACTCGGGATGTTGTCTATTGTGGTCAGCTTCTCCTTCTTCCGCAAACTTTGCAAAGAGGATCCTTCGATCCTCGCCGAGTTGCCTCCAGATTAGGGAGGCCACCTTTGTCAATATCGGGCGGGGGATAGCCCCCATGCGTGCATTGACAAACTTTGTCAATGTACATTGAAATTGCATAAACGAATTCAAGGGACGCTTCGCGGGGTCCCCTTGCTTTTGGTAGCCCTCGGAAAGGGCAAACTCAAGAAATTCGTCAAATGAAATCTTCGCCGCGATCCTATCAGGATCGCACGCCTTCTTAGTATTGGTTGGTTTTTTCTTTTGAATGCTATTAGCATCCGCCGTTGGAATGCTGTACTCGCGGATGTTGTTCTTTCTTGTCATGTTTTCTTATGATATTGTGGTGTTTTTCACTTTGCAAGCCCTTGATCGATCTCTATATTTATATTTCTCTCTCACTTGTGATACTATGGGTTTTCTTACTGTATAACCGACATTACTGTTCATTTGCATTATCTTTAAGTCTACAATGCTAAGTAAGTTATTTTTATCTCGTAACTATTTGTCTCCACGCTATACGTTGTTATTTTCAATCGCATACCGAAATTGGCCCATCACGGGAGCGAGTAATGAGGTGTCATGACCCATAAGATTCCGTACCGAAAAACATTATATTTTTGAGGTTTCAATTGGTCAATTAAATTTATCATTGAAAATGTGCAGCAGTTGCTACCGGAGAAAATATATACAATAACAATACTAAATTAAGAAATCTTGAGGTATACCTCAATCTTACAATTCGTTAAGGTATTGACATTGCATAGTATTTGTTTGCTGTGGCGCTCGCAGTTTGCAAAAAAGGTATCGTTGTCTCAATAGCACTCTGCTTAATCAACCCATAGAAAGAAACAATAATTATTCAACAGACTAATGTGTAGCCTTTATTGAACACAAGGTCTCCGATGCTCCGACGACATCGACTTCGCCACAAGAAAAGCGGGCAAACAAAAAACTCAATGACAAGTCACAAGCTGTAAAGTTTATCAGATAATCGGTTCGAAAGCCCAGTAGCAAGCAATTTTAACAGAATATGCTTCCAGAAATGGGCGATCTATGGTTATCGGTTATCTATGAAGTGCATATGTGTCTGGTCACAACAACGCTGAAATCCTGGATTGCTCCCAAAATGATCGACAGCCCACATAATTAATAACAATAATGTTACATCCTCGAGTCATAAATAAAGAAATACAATAAAACCTTTAGTTAACAACGGCGCAGCAGCATAAATCCCAACTGTACAGAGAATTAACAAGGGGGAAGCAGTGAAACCCGATAGTCAACATATGGCAACAGATTGAATATACGGAAGTTTCTGCTTCGAAATTCTTTTTTCAAGTAAATGACTTGGTAAAAATGAAGGGTCTTTATGCTAAAGATAAATTCACCATAATTGTCAATGCTAAAGGCAAAACTTGTTTAGTCGTCAAACAAAATATGGAAATCCATCTCCGTCTACTGGAACCATGTTTACCCATATGCCCTTTCTATGTTTCATTGTATGTTTTGTTTGTTTCATAGCCATCTTATTCGGAGAATCCTAGCCGACAATGATTCAATGCGCTTGCACCTACCGGGCAATTGAGGAGAATAATAGGGTAATCACTATCGTTATAAACACATATGTATGTAATAATACGTAAACGTTCGGAATATGCTGGTGATTGGTGAATTAAACGTTTACCCTCGTAAAACTCATTTACATGCATTTGCTTTTAGCGCAGAATGCAAGCACAGCATTACGCGCGTAGTCATTTGCGTACGGTTGATAGGTAAATTATTAATGTAACGAGCGTTGTATTACTGTTATTATGTCACTCGGACAATTAGTTGAACAAATCTTGCGATGGAGGTACTACAGGGTGACACATAAACCCCAGAGACGTTGGTTGACCAAAATATGCTATTGGGTTTACCTCATTGTAATAGGCACGTATTTTTACATTAGGTAGGGACATTTAGGTTACTATAATTGTCGTCAGCCCTTTTTTTTTTTCCTGATTGTACTATTATTATTTATTACTACGCTTAACAGCATAAAGGCATCAATGATTGCCAGATCAGGTTTTAACTATACCATATACTCTGTAACCACAAAGACGATTGGTTCAACTTTGGCATATAGGCATAATTTGCCTTATATATCTATGTATTACAATGCTGGGGCTCAACAAAGATAGCACCACTTGCGTATCAATTATAACCCTAACGGCCTTTTATTGTTTGTATTAAATTGGATCGTGTAACGAAATGCGAAATAAACTATAAATTTCGCCTTGGTCACTTCACGAAAATTTTAAAAAAAAAAGTTACTCGAAAACAAAATACTAAACAAAACTCTTTAAACATTATGACAGGCAACAACCATCAAAAAGGTCTCCACAAAAGACAAGGAACATCTAGAATCTCAAAAAGCACGCCTTTGAATAGAAGCCATAGACCTACTCGTGAACAACCAACTATTCCTTCAAATTCTTCCCTCTCACTTTCGCTCAACCCTGACACTATCAAACAACTTCTCAACCTTCATCCACCTCCGTATTCCGTTGAACAACTGTGCGCCAACCGTTTTGTAGGAGACGGTGCCAAAGTACTCCGCCCCTCGAATTGCTGGATTTTGTACAGAACATGTGCGGCTCGACGTATTCGTGAATTACCACAATTCAAGGACATGCAGCAGCAGCAATTTTCGGAAATAATTGCTGGTCTGTGGAAAAAGTGTAGCCAAGCCGAGAAAGAAGAATATCGTCAATTACAATATAAAGTAAAAGAATTGCATAAGAAATATCATAGAGATTGGATTTATAGGCCTGAAAAAGGAAATTGTTGGCGCGTCCAAAAAGTGCAAGGTGAATATGCTAATAATCGACCTACCGAAATCCAAGAATTTCAGACCATCCAAGTTTTAACGTTCCAGGCTCAAATAATAACGGAAAATGATAATACCTCAAACGAAATAGGAGACACACAAGGTTATCCCTTGAATAATGACAACGACCAATATGACAACGGTAGCATTAACGAAACTTTTGGTAATAACGTAAACCAGCAAACCACCTACATCGATACAGTACATATCGTCGAATCTCAACTGTTACAAATACCAACGCCGCCTTTAATATTTTCGCATGGATCGTCACCCGATGAATATCCGTTTTCCAGTGCACCCTCCCCGACAATGTCATGCGATGAATTTTCCGGTGCACCATCGCCCATGCCATTCCCTGATGAACACTCGTATTCCGGTGCACCATCGCCCATGCCATTCCCTGATGAACACTCGCATTCCTGTGCACAATCGCCATACGCTATTGAGATTGACACCCCATCGCCATACGCTATTGAGATCGAAAACCCATTTTCCGGTGCACCCTCGCCGACTATATCATTCGATGAATTTTCCGGTGCACCATCGCCTATGCCATTCCCCGAGGATTCCTGCACACTGTCGCCATTCGTTGCTGATATCGAAGACCAGTTTTCCTTTGCACCATCGCCGACCATGTCATCCAATGAATTTTCCTGTGAACCATCGCAATTCATTGCTGGGATTGACTCGTTTTCCTATCCAACTATGTCATCCTATTCCTATGAAATTGAAGACCTGCTTTCCCGTGCACTATCACCGCCTTATGTTGAAGACCACCAACAAATGTATGTGGGTATTGTCCATTGTACTCACCACAGGACTTGAAAACTAAGGTCTTATGTTGATCATAATGACATCATCAGAACATTTGTATATCACATTACATATAGCATATAACACAGTTTCTTTTTACGTAAGGACAAATTTTATGACGATTAAGTGTAACATTTTTTTTATAGGATAGCTATATATTTATTATATAGTATATATATGCATTTATGATGTATTTAAGAATAAAATCGGACATTTATGTTATACAATGTAATGCAAGTGAGAAATGCATTCTGACCTGTAGAATAGCTGCCCATTTTTCTTATTTCCAAGCTGGAGCGACCAACACTCTACGAATAATGATTTTTTTTCTTCTTCTTCTTGCTTGTAACAGTAACCATTCTTACCCTTAAAAAATTGCGCACCTTCTCCTACCACTCCGGAAAACAAACGGCAGTAGCCTATTTGGCGATTGCATACTGGTTTTCTAATTTTAGATTCATATCAAATTCTTTAATGTAACAAGAACAAAGATTCCATCTATCATCTTTTTCCGTCCTTTGAGTGTTTGGCGCTAGTTACAAAATAATATATCAATATTGCCAATGTAGTGTGTGAATTGTTGCACATGTATTTTAATCATAGCATAGAGGCGAATGCTTATTACTCTAAATGAGAATGCGATTGTTCTTTAATCAGGATGATGATACTGGTAAACCAGTTAAGATTTTCTTATCTTCATTGTTATCAAATAACGCCATCAATACATAATGAATATCCGGTTCAGTGTGTTTATTCGAATGGAAATGATTCGATGATTCGAAAGGCAAATATTACACGGTACTCCCTGCTAGTGGCCCCATAAAATGACATACTATGAGTCATATATTTGTCAGCATATATACCGCAGCCGATAAATGGGGAGGATTAAGTAATAAAGATATCGAATGTTGGACAACTACTGAATTCTTGAAATTTGTTCCATCATGGAATGGTAACACATTTTGGCGCATACAATGATGAAATAAAGCACAGAATTATAGATCGAACAACAACGTAGAACTCGAGTATCGAAATCCACCAAAAGAATCTGCGCAACATGTAAAGCACAGAATTATAGATCGAACAACAACGTAGAACTCGAGTATCGAAAACCCTACCTTCTCACCAAAAGAATCTGCACATGTTCTACAAATACAGTTAGGCCTGTGTAAAGTTTCCGACTACGGAGCCCAGCGTTTTTCTGACTCGGAGCAAATAATTCAGTTGTGACATGGTTACTAATACACAGGCTGTTCCTTATGAGATCATACAGCGCATACATTATCTCGAAGATTCTTTGATTGTGACGCAATTACAAGCGGTATGATGAATAATTATATTAAGAAGGTGTATTACCCAATTTATTATAGCGCAATTACGAGTGGTGTGATCAATATTTATATTGAGTATTGTTTATAAAACTCTATTTTATATCAATTAACTTATGTTGATAATAAATAACATTGCCTTAATATTTATACGCCCTATATCTCCATCTATTTATGCTTGTTTATACAATAAAAATGTTCCTTTTGTAATGCATTGTTATTATGATCAATGGGCAAGCACGCAAGCAAATCATCAGAGAATGATTTGCGATAACAATCGACAAGGAGATTGGTGTAACATTAGTACATTCATTGTACATTCATTGTACATTCATTCATTGTATATTCAATAGTTTTTCCTACAACAGATTATTTATAAGCATAGTTGATAACATTTACTCAATTTGTCTACCAAAAACGAGTATTGTTCAAAACTGATTGTCATTATACATGCCTGCTATCATGGGCGGGACTATTGATCCCCCTTTGATGATCAACGTTTGTTATACGATTGCCCATATATCGTCCATGTGTTATCAGATATGTCATTCCAAAATGCCCCATTATTTATACCACAGAGTTAGGGGCTGTTACGTCATAAACAGGGCATCATTTGGATAGAACACACTGACGATGACATGCCCAAGCTAACTCTTATCGGTCGAGACAATAGAGACGTTGTACATCATTATGTATTTTACATGTATTAGGAGAGAATGATTGCTTCTTACGCACATACGCACACGCACATACCAGCATACAATGTTGCCCCCATATCTGAATGTACTTTGCTCTTGTTACTGTATACGTCTTTTGTGCTGTACACGTGTTTAGGGAGCATCAAATATTTATTATTATTTTATACAGATTCACTTAATCGTATTTGCGTCTCACATGTATTCTAAATTGGGTAAAACACAAACAAATGTATGTATAGCATTTTTCTGTTAATAGGTATGGGTTGGACCCTCATGATCCCCCACCCCCACTTCCCATTACAAGTCCCCCGCATTTATCATGACCTCGTATGCTATAATTATAACAGCACTTGCTCTCAACAAACACCAGTATCTTCAGCTTTCGGGATGGCTAAGAGCAAAAATCGACCTTTGCTCTCTTCCCCCTGCATGTTGAATGTTTGATAATACGGCCGATATTGGGTGTACGTCGTTGCGGATTATGGGCGCATTCTCTTTTAATTTTGATCCATAAATGGGCTGCTGCACTTTTGTTTTTACAGTTTACACTATCCCTGCATATATTGTAGGGCCCTAGAGATAAGCAATACAAACCGAAATGGTGACCATTCCCTCTCCTTCTTGGCAATATTTCCCATTATCGCCTGGAAATTCTTCGAACGGGCCAATGGTGCTTTCGTTGCGTGCAACGGATCACAAGAAATTCCCTGCCAAATGCATTTGATTCGTCCAGTATTCTCTTACATTACAACAAGGTATGAGCGCTTACCAAAAGAGGATAATTTTTACAATTGAACCAACGTCCTTCAAAAAATTCCATTCTAGGATAGCATCGAAGATACGAATGAGAAGTTCCCGCATTGGAAAGTCCGAGAATGCTACATATAAGTGATAACTATATTAATATACATATGATCAAATATAAGTACTATTGATCTTCATATTGTTCGCGCGTTTGTTGTTGTATAGAATAATCCTGTCGTATATGTGTGAAACCATACAATGTTACCAGGGACTGACTTACATTTACGTCCAGTTCATTTTATTATATTTATTATTATTACTATACTCATTGTATATCTTTGTCTGCGGCTCGGATGGTGTATATAAGTAGCGCATCCTACTCCCCATCGCTTCATTTTCTTCACTCACAACAATACAATACAATCACCTTCACAATTGCTCAAAGCAACGTTCTCTTAATGACTCAAATCCAAGAATCACTTGATGAAGTTATTTCAAAATATTACAAAAAATCCCCTCTTGATACCGAGATCGCTACCGAATATCCTGAGTTCAGCCAAACTATCGTTCTGCACACTCCCGACATACCGTTCGAGGATAAGAAGCTGTTAGAATATGCAAAGAAAATCAAAGAAGAATCAATCCTCGAAGATGAATCAACAACTCAAGAAGGGAATAAAAAAAAGCGAAAACGTCCTCCAAACTCGTATTTCTTATTTATGGTCGTCTTTAAAGAGTTAGTCAATAAACTGGTAATTAACGAGACCCTTGATGGGAAAGCGAGACAAAAGTTAGGAGCGATGCTTTGGAACTGTCTCAAAGAGGAATTCCAAAAACCCTATAAAAGTGTTGCTAAAGTCGCTCGAGAAGATTTCCCCCAAATGACGTACAAGAAGCGTCAAAAGGATGGACAACTGGATGTAAGGGAGTACGACCCCAAATCAAGAAAAAAATCACCGGCGAAAAAGAGTCGAAGCTCTACTTCACCATCGGCGAAAAAGAACCAAGGCTGTACGGCTCCATCTATTGGCAGCAGCACAAGCTCAACGCCTCCATTAATTCCCAGCGGCCCGAACTCAACGCCCCTATTAATTCCCAGCAGCACATCTCCATCAGTTGCCAGCAACCCATCTCCATCAGTTGCCAGCAACGTGAGCTCAATGTCAATATTCGAGAATGACCCATTTACATACTTTGATGTACTTTCCGGACAAATCGCAGGCAATTACCCGGAATATGACAATTGCAATTTCGCCAATTTCGCTTTGCAACAACCGATTGACATAGGTCAGTTGTCTCAATATATTTCCCCCATGGAAGCACCGCAAACGTCAATAAATATCGGGTATCCTCCGGTTCCCATCATGAACGCTTACAACTTCGCCGACCTATCGTGGATTATTACAGATAGTCCTGATAACGAATACACTCAGTGTTAGGGTGGAAGAGGTGGAAGACAGGAATAGGGAATAGGGGACGATCACAAACATTTTAATTTTGATTGGTTGGAGATTATGATGATAAGGCACTTACGATTTAAGACACTATAAGATAATATATTTGCAGTGGATGCTAAGACTAGAGAAATAAGACTAATTATTATTGTACACACATTTGTTAAGTTATCATTAAATAAACGATAGGAAATGCCCCAAACTTTGGTATCTGTGATACGTTAAAATAGACTAGGTAGGATAAATAATATCGTTTTCTGTCCCTGTAACGTTCCTCGGCCCTCCCTTTCAATCACTCTCTTATTAGGAGAGGCGGGCGTAAACTGTTGTTCGTATATAGTCAAACAGACGTTGTCGGACAGTATTATTAAGATTTCGTTGATTGGTATTCTCCGGCAGTCTTTTTGTGCGATTACTTAACAAAGTAATAAATCAAAGCGACAAAAGCGTCTAATCATCTAACCGCCTTATCAAGCGTTTCAAGATTTAGAATCAACAATTTATACAGTTATGAGTAAAGTACAATAAAAAATCTAAATAATCAAACACAGCACTAAACGGTAAGCCGGTTCATCATTGCTGCGTCAAGTCATGCAATTCTTTTCTTTCCTTTTCTTTCCTTTGTTATTCTTAATCAGTGATTAAGATATAAAGATTCTACATTCTCATCAAAAGTAGTGAAACAATTCTTTAAACTGGAACATCGTATTTTCCTTTAATTTCGCCTCTTTCTCGTTTGTATTGTTTGACAAATAAGAATCGTGAGAAATTGCAATTCTTGAGATAAGCCCTGGATATGACTGCATGACTGGAGTAGCGCCAAAAAAAAAAAAAAAACCAAAAAAAAAAACGCATACATAGAGAACAGTTTGTAACACATCATCAACAAAAGGATTACCAATCTTGAACATACAGCATTTATCCGGAAAAGGGTGAAAGGTTTTTTTCGGACTATGGGTTTGCGTAAGATCAGATGTATCATTGAGATTATCAAAATCAGTATTTAATGGTACTCTCGAAACAAGTTTTAGAGTATTACCAACCCAAAAACTGGTTTTGTTATTTATTTTTTTTGCATACATGCAAAAGGGTTCAAAATACTGGAATGAATAATTACCCATGTACAACAAAAAGTTTAACATGCAGTTGCCACTTATAGTCTCATACAGAAAGTTCTTATTGTATAATCGCACAAACACTGTCATTCTAAAGTACAGTACATCCCTTACATTTATTACCAATAATGCATTGTATCATGTCGCCATTCATGTTACGCGCCATCTTTTCAAAAGGCACTATGCTATCAATGCGTTAAATACGTAACACGATGATGCATCCAATAACCTTGTAACCATCAGCTGAATATGTATGCGCATATCACTCTAGCCCCACTCCCACACTGCTCTGCAACATACAGTTGTGCTAGATACTCATTTGGCCAAGGCGTCCCGAGTCAAAGCATTGGAGATTGGCATACATTGTTTACGCCTCATTTGAAAGTTTAAACTTAAAATAACACAAATAATGCATAATTTAAAATGTTACAAAAGGCACGGCGCGTAAATGAAAGATCGTTCCTACATCTGATGCTTTCATTGGTGCTTGCATGATGTACAGTTTGTAAGCATTGTAAGAGTCGTGTTACCGACTTTTATGCTATTGTTCTCTGCCAAAAACTCTACTAGCGCAATACCCAAAACGCATAAAGCGATATATAGGATGAAAGCAATTGCAATGGATACTGTTGGGCGATTTGTTTATCAGGGACTGTGAGAATATTCTATCATTTACACAAGCCTTTTGTTTTTTCAAAACTGGAAAGTCTTGTACTACCGTTTGACCAATTAAAGGAAGAGAAATGTCTGATGCAATGTGCTAGCATTCAGATGTGATATTTCACAATGTATCGTAGAAGGTGGATCCCTGGTCAAATACGCCTTGTTCTTTGTTACCCCTATATTCACGCAGCTATGCGTTCTCTTGTAGTTCTGTATTTTCACGGTATTCAATGCTGAACGTTCGAGTGAGGGTATGTAATAATAATGATATAACTGTGATATAATAATATGAATGTATCATGAGAATAAGAGCATCAACCTGAGATTTACACCCTAGTTATGTAAACATTGTAAGGCATACTCATCGCAATCATTTCGTAGGTATTCACGTCTTACTCATAACTCGATAATTTACACCCCAGTGGGACATCTCACAATATTCGTATATCACAGCGGGACTCAACAATATAATCAGCCAAAAACGAGAGTAAGTTTAACGACGAATACACCACGCCAATGTCTGCAACTAATACTTATGGTCGTCTGGTTAAAACTGACGGACGTATCTTTAAGAAAAAGGGTAATAATAATAATAATAATAATCTGCGTCGGTTGGGTTCGATACATACAAAGATGATATCAAATTACTTACTATATTCTTTACTTATCATTCAACACTTAGGTACGCAGCCGTGACGATATGGCTCCCATATTACTAGTTGAAAAGACCAGAGTCTGATACATGAAACTTGAGCAAGAACGCCAAGACAGATGGTTAATTGCGCCGTCTACATGCTTACAGTTGCATTCAAATTCTCCGGCGAAACGTCTTACATACGTTATGTGTAATTAAGAAAGGTTAGTGTAGAATATCAATTTGAACATTCCGAGAACTGCGAGTGTTCTCGGAGGTAACATTTCCAAACATCTGCCAACTCATGAATTGTCTTCTCGGGATCATCTTCTTGCTCTAATATTGCCAGGAAAGAAACGTCTCAAGATAATGTTAACCAACATCGGACTGCTCTCTAGGCGAGGATGGATTAAGATAGAGTAAGTGGAGAAATATTGCGCAGTGTAAAAGATGTTTTGAACCCTCAAAAAAGTGATTAAGAAGCAGAAAGCTTTACTAGTAAAGGTTAGCAACTTAATAGAAGCAATTAAGTAATCGATTAGTTTCTTCTTTCCATTCTTTAGATAATAGTGAGGTCTTGAAACTCGCTTGGTTATCTCTTGACTTGTTTATTTTGGCTAGTTGAGGTCCTTCGATCAATTTATCCAGTTGTTGAATCAGCTAGTAACTCGTACGTATACGATTGTAAACCATCACATGGTCATAGTCCCGGAAACGCAAAGGAGTTTACGGACGTTGCCATTATTTAACAGAGCAGACGACATATTGAGACCAAAGCGCTCCCCCGTTGGAAGTGGTTGATATTGCCTCTTGACGACTATAACGGTGGTTCTGTCTATTCGAGAGACATGGTTCCTATGTTGGACAACGATTGCGAAGTACTGTATATCTGGATGGGCCAGAAGAGAACATACATACAATATTGATTGTGTGACTGAGCGCGCCGTGCAACGAGGTCCTTGAGTGCTCAGCTTCTCTCTAAGCGCAAATACAACGTCACTCAAATACACAACGAACAACCGTTTGTCGCCACTCCGTATTCCGCACATACGAACAAGTCCTGTAACGATACGGTTTACTGTGTTTGCGATAGCATGTGCGGTGCAGTCATTCGTTTGCAGCTTGCTCCAAGTATGTATCAATTAAAAGAGTAATCTTCTCGTTAGGAAGAGAAAAAGTGGGGAGAATGTAGGGGAGCGCAGGGGAGAATGTAGGGAAGCGCGCAGGGGAGTGCGGAGAGGGGAGAAAGACAGAGGAGAATGTAGGGGAGAGAAAAAGAGGTGAGAATGTAGGGGAGAGCGCAGGAGAGAGTGTAGGGAAGCGCGCAGGAGAGTGCGGAGAGGGGAGAAAGACAGAGGAGAATGTAGGGGAGAGAAAAAGAGGGGATAATGTAGGGGAGAGAGCGGAGAGTATAGAGGAGAACGTCTAAATTCTGTATATCGGTTCGATGACTAACTCATTTATGCTTAACTTTGCCATTATAACTAGGATGAGAAATCTGTATCCCCGAAATCCCTAGACACAAAAAAGGGATGAACTTTAATGATGCATTATCGTAAAAATGAATGCTGGAGAATTGCTGGCTCGAAAGAGGATGAATGCATGCCAAAAATGATTACGAAAAGGAATAATTAAGAAGCGAGTAATATAAACGTATTCCGTAATATGAATGAGGGCGTCTCATGAATAAGAGCCTGTAACGTTACGAAATAACTACCTCCCCACCACCACTTCCATAACCTTACCTGGGTCATTAATCGAGTACTGAATATTTTCCAAGAAAAAAGCTTTTTTGGCTTCCCCGTCGTAATTATCAATAGAATCTCGACACAGATGGTATGAACATCGAACTTGGCAGATCCTCAATGGATTTCAGACTTGTCTACTTTTCCCGGATGCCAATATAAATAAGACTGAAGAGGATTCGGTTGATGCAATTACTACGAATTCCAATTCTCGTTTTTCGGTGTGATTTATGGTATATTTGTGATAGGGTTGCGGGAGTCAATTTGTGATGTCTGCTATTAATGCTCGATTATTAGGCCGTCGCACAATATGTTCTATCTTCGCTCACTTTCGTTCGAAGGATTTAAAGACTATACCCAGCCAAAATATAACCTTGTATTCCTTGTATTCCAACGGCCGTTCAATTCCTTATTGCTTTAAGGCGCAACCAAACATCTCCTGAATAAGAGCTCCCATTATATGATGAAGGTTTACGGTATGTAGGATGCTGATATCAAATTATTGATCCAAGGTTAACGCTGAACATTAACGTTTGAACATCAACGCTGAACATCAACCCTCCTTTCTATCCTCTTCAGTCCAATATTCGATACATTTCTTTATAGTGTTGATGGACCGAATTTCTAATCCCTAACAGCTATACAGGCATCATACCGGCGTTGTCTTATTCTCCATTATCCTGATAAATTAGATCCTACCATCGAATCCTTTGTTTATTAAAGCGTTAATAGAAAGATCCACCCAGTAAAGAGAACTTTTGAATATTGATTAAATGGCTTTAATGGACAAATAGATCCGCATGACTGGAGACGATGTGCCCTGCGAACGACCTACAAAGTGAGTTGCAGAGAAATGGCCCACATTAATATAATATAGGGAAAAAATTCTCGTGTATAATCTACAAACAATATGTGGTCATATGCCTCTGGGAATTTACGCAAGAGAACGATAAAGATTAACTTCAGTTTTGAACCATATATAACCTATTGTGTAATTCTTACATTCTATCGCATTCCGTCTGTCTTCCGACATGAAATCAGACTCGGTATTGTTTGAGAGGTTGAATCCTGAACGTAAAAGATATGTTAAAATAAACACGCTAAAAAACTCAACATTCGAAACAGTTTTTCATCCAGGATACCACCTTCTTTGGTTTTATTATCGGGCACTTCTACGGTTAGTTTCTTGCCATCACCCAAATCGCTCCAACTTGACGTACCGGTTTAGTGGTGTGCTATAACAGGCGTTAAGAGGATAGCAGGATGGTGTATATCCAAGCCGGTTGAAAATCACTGTGAAAATGTAGAAATAACAATGCTCAATAAACGACGAATTGTTATGACAAGAACACTTGAACCCCCCCCCCCAATGCATATATATAAATCGATTTAAGAACGGTCTCTAACCTTATTGTATGCGAACTTGTTAAACAGAAAACATCGTTTGCGTGTTGGAGGCGACTTGAGAAACAGACATATAACCTCAAAGACCGACGATACAATGTAGATTCTGATTGACTAGTCATGTACTGTTTTTACTTTCTTTGGTGTCTGTAATATTGGAGTGTTGTCCGAGTTAATGGCTAATTGAGGATTCCGAAAAAAGGTATTTGCACCAAAAGATATCCCGCTCAGTTTCATTTCTCTACTAAAGAAGACGTCTTGAAGCAACGGTTTCTTTACATACCATAATGACCGCATTGTAGCTTTCGATACGTCTTTGTCAGCCGGCCAGGTAAAAGCATCAAGTTTTCCCGGTTGATTGTCAATCAGCAATAGAGCATACAAAGTCTTTTTGTGGTAGAATTTTACAAATTTTCTCTTCTAACAGAGAATTCATCCTTTTCCCATCGATCCCTGGTTGCTTGTAGTCGAATATCGCCTGGTACGTATTCTCACTGTACCGGAACCTGTCGGACCCGAGTACACATTAAGCAAAGATACAAATGATAATATACGGTCCTTTCAAACAATTGTATTTTTAATCGGCCCTGCATAATCTCTCGGTTCGTTCGTTACTTTGTGGAATATACAAAGGATGAGATAATCTCTTGTGTTTACACAATGACCGTGTGATATGTGATGTGTGCTAGTTCCATTTGCAATATACTAATACATTTGATACATTTGAGTTTATGCTGTGATCGTCACAAGTATCCAACGATTCAAAAGTGATATATCGGATGCTTTCTTGTTTTTCAGTAACCTGAATTAATAATGATATTTGCAAAAGCCACGACAAATAGATACTCACCGCCGCCATCGCCACCCCCTTTAACATAAACAAGCCCAGCAAAAATTACTAATTCGTTCGTAACAGTAACATGTGTTACGTAGAACTGGCATCTTTTTTTTTTTTTTAATTCGCTTGTCACCGAGAACAATTGTTTGTCAAACAACAAGTTAAAAGTGGAGTGGGGAGGGGAGTGTGGAGGGGAGTGGAGGGAACGTCAAAATCCCTCACTAGAGTTTTCTCGTCACTTAATTGATGTGGTGATGCATACTACCTGGTAAATCTAACATAGGTTGATGTGAGTACGTATAACGTAAGTAGTGTATGATATTATCTTCATGTTGAATAATAAATATGCATGTAGAAGATTCCCCTTTCCCCGAGAGACTTTTGTTTGCTACCAGCCAAGATAATGTAGGCCATGATTGGAATGAAGATGATTTGGTTATTTGTATTCAATAACTGTTTTTCGATGCATGTCCTTTGACCAGACAAATAATGCGAGTTATTATTAAGAGCTATTTGCTGCACGAGGTATATACACACATAATACTTTCGTAGACGCGCTGTTGATCACCCTGTCATTAATTGATGGCATATTTTTACAGGGTAAATTCGATCAGTAACTGGATATGAGGAGCAGTCTATACCTGATATTCCACCAAGTGCTTGTCAAATTAGGACTTACTATGATGGATTGGTTGATCCGCTTATATTACACTAGAGACATAACAGCAACTGTCCATCATTTGTAGCTCATCCCTCTCCTCTCTCTCTCTATGTTGGCACTGTGAGTGTTAATCCCTGACGGATGTGCAACATTAGTCTTTTTTGCAGATTTGTATCTTTGATCGTCTATATTTTGAGTGTGATGAAATTGATTTCGTTCTCAGCATAAAGTTCTGACTCTAAAAGTGTTCCTTATCTATGATTTGTATCGCTCTTTCTCTGCTTAATTCTGACAGAAAGTTGGTTGTATTCCCTACACATGGATTTGTGGTAGAATAACAAAAGTGCTGTCCGACGTGATTATGAAAACATCTTTCAAATTTGCACGGTTGTATCTCTTCTTTTTTCTTCGTTCAGACATAAATTCGTTGGCTTAACTGTGTTTGCCTAGTCTGACTATTAATGAGGCTTACAAATACATGTCATTTGTTTACGGTTCATAGCGATGACAATCTTACAGTAACAGATGTGATATTGTGACAGTTTTATTAACTGATAACGATATGGTCATATTCTTTACAAGACCTTGTATTTTAATATATATTGTTTATATTATTTTGATATATTATATATATTATAACTGATTGTATTAACCGTTTATATAGCGATAGTTTACATTACAAGGCCTAACAACAATGATGGTTGGTGTAATAGTAATACACTATTACAAATAAAGCGCCACTCAAACATTATCTGGCGTACATTTGCGTCTATTGCTATTTTTAACTAACTGATACCCGTTCCGTCATGACTGATTCTTCGTTGTACACATACCAATTATGTCAGTTCCGATATCGGATGTTTGGTTTTTTGCAAGCTGATAAAATAAATCACATAATTACAGTAATCGAACAATGGGGGGGGGAGGGAGAGAGAGAGAGAGACGTTTTATGTTTAGACACATACACTAGCATATATGCAACACTTTTTTTGTGTTTCAGACTTGCGATTATTCGTGGGGTTTGATGATAACGGAAGAACCTATTAAATAACAAGATAATGCTTTTAGACTATCGTAATCGAGATTTTACGCCTTGTCGAACATATTTATCGCGTCGTGAGACAGGGGAACTAGCTTCAGATCGGGGCACTTGACTGCGTACCAGCCGCATTCTTATGCATTATTACCGTTGAATAGATTATTCTAAGTTTGTACAGTATAATTAAGTAGGCGGGTGAATAAATATCAATTTATAGTTTAATATATTTAATTACACAATTAAGTTTGCCAATGCCGAGATTTAGTATAACTTAATCTATTTCTTATTAATTACGCCGAATATTGATATTTTATTTTGGTTTAGTGTGAGAATTACGTCGGAGAAGCAAGTCCGATATTCGAAACACCGAGAGTGCACATTTGTTCTCATACGCGCGCGGAGAAGTGGGGAATGGTGCCAAGATCATTGGTTAATTTCCAAAGTTGGGTATGTAACAATACCCTATTGATGTTCTGAATTTGGCCAAACTAAAATAATTCCAACAAACAAATTAAGATATTAATATTTAGTAATGACTGCGTTTATGAACATATAATAGTAACACAAAGGAATAAGATGAAACACTTGCTATTTATGGTTGGTTAGTTTTACCAATTTGGGAATTTTCTTAATGATGCTAATCCATCGCCAACGAGATCTATCCGCAGAGCGTGGGCAATAGTAAAAGCCAAGTGCTCACATTCTCGTAATATTGATAACAGGCACTCGGACAACTTGGGTACAGAGGTCTGTATAATGGCAGGTACTACTGGTAATATTACTGTCGACAAAATTTATTTGATATCAATGTTTACCATGTTACAGACTTATTTTCTGTCTATAATACATGTCTATCAAAAATTGAGGTTGTGAAAACGCTAGAGAAATCAATAAATCATGTAGCTGTACTAGAGACATAAAAATTCTACATGTCTACATTAAACGACCGACTATGCTAAATGCAATGCATATGGCCAAATCAGACATGGCTTGCATTTACGGAGGGTTGCATTTACAGAGAATAAAATACTTAATTGTCTTATAATCTTGCATTTAGAGAGGGTTCACTGTATTGTTCTTATTATAATCAGCAGTCTTGTTGACAACGATCATGAAATACCTTTGTAGACTGATAAATTTACTACCTGCTGCAATGTGTGTTGAGCCTAACCATCCGGAACAAGTATTGTAGGTGACGTAAGGACAGCAAAGCAAAGCAAAGCAAAGCAAAGCAAAGCAAAGCAAAGCAAAGCATAATATTTCGGGAATCGGAGATTTTGTAGATTGCTAAACTCGACAATGAATTTCAAGACTCACACAAGCACACACTCACGCATACACAAATATGGTAATCGAGTTTGAAGGGGGAGGAATTGAAAGGGTAAAATTTCCATATATATTTGACGGTCTAGAATTTAAAAGTGACATACACAAAGGTGTGTATAACTGATGGCTTGTTGCAATGTATGGAACGGGAATGTGCAGTGCCGAAAGACAAGCTGACACAATGACTAGATAGGCCGTGTGTAAATCCATGCACTCTGCAAATCCCACCATTTCAACGGTATATGGATTACAAGAAGACTCTAATATTTGCATAATGGCCGACCGACTATTAGACCATGAACGAAATATGGCAAAGAAATGAATGGCGAGGGGTGGAGAAGGAGAGAATAAAAGAAAAAGCATCTGCTTATTCGATTAAAACGAGATACAAATTCGACTGTTTGTCAATGTACACCGATTGATTGCCCACTGATAATACATTGCATATGTATGCACATCAGTGATCGACGCCACACTGTCATTATATATTTATTGTATTTTGAATATGTCGTCATTAGTCTTTTTTTTTTTTTTTCTCCCCATTTTGAAGGTTTTTTTTTTTCATCCCTGGAAAATATTGTTTGCTATTATTAGTAAACTATGTGTAAGCCAATAGATGATACAAAGCATGGGTAGTCAACATCTTTACCATGGATTGTTATCTAGATTTCCTATTTCAGCACTCTTAAACGATTACTCACTTGCGTAACATGAATCCTGATTCCATACGGGCTGTTATATCGGAGAAGACGCAATCGGTCTTGCTGAAACAAAGGTATCTCTAAACTTTGATAATAACAATAATGTAAACCCTAATTTATTGATATTCAGAAATAATCTTATCTAGTTTAATTAGTCTTATTTTAGATTACAATTACTTTTTGTTTATAGTCCCGGTCAAAGTTCCCCGACCGAGTGACAGTGATACACAGCTGATAATCCAAATCCCAAACCTGGGGTTTTTCGCTCGCTATCAACACAGACAGGAAAATATTCGTTTATCGATAAGCAAATGACCAATAAATATGTATGTTTCCCAATGTGAATGTTTATATTTCCATAAAGATGATTGGCATCAGATGAGAACGGCAAACATTCTTTTGTTTCTTTTCCATACGCCTCATCATCACATCATATTATGCATTGACACACACAAATAACAGCCCACTGCTAACAATGTAAAAGTGTTAGAAAACCTTGTTAGATCAAGAATTCCTTGGCAGATTCTTTCGATTGCTCTCGTCGGTGTGACTATACGATGCTGGTTAAGAGATGCTTGTGTGACAGTTGCCGAGTCTTTTTATTGGTATTAATTCAATACCAAGGCTTTCTCTTTTTAATTGATGGGTTAATATGCGCAGATTATTAATTGTCTACTCTCCCCCTTTTTTGACCATGTTATACAATTACAGTTGGGGAGGAGAGGCCAGCTGCAGTGGTTCTTGAATTACTTTTCGGGAATTACAAACGCAAGAGCCAACATTAGGTTTTATGTTTACCTAATCCCAACGGGAAACTTTAATTTAAACCTATAATATAGCTTGGAATTTTCTTAGTTACCGGACAAGAATTAATATAAGTATTTTAAACTGATGCATACAACATAAACAAACAAAAACTAGGCGAGTTGGGAGTGGTGTTGAATGACAATGTGTGGAATCGGAGTACGATTACGCCTCCCCCTTCTGTGATGGCATCTGCATCGGACTTGCGAAATTGTCCATTTCTGAATTTGCCCCAACAAGTATAATGAACCATTATCGGGCCGTTATAGTTTATCGTTTCGCCATTAAGACCAATTGATTGATGTACGTACACGGCTAATTTTGCAATAGACATTTCCTTATAGATTATGGTGTCACAATATAAGCATAAACTACCACACGATAGTGATTTCTGCCCGCCGTCTCACCTTTGTTTGATCTAAATATAACTCTTCTGCGTATCTTGCACACATGGAGTTGCATCTCCGGATTAGATATGCATCCGTTCGATGGTAAAATACACACAATGGGTACAAATATCACTAGAGCTATGTTATTGCATGTCCAAGTTCCTTGACAACACTTTGTAAGAAAGAAAAAAGGAAACTAGCGAAACGTTACGCCACGTTTGCGCAAAGGTTACTCAAGTTACTCAAGTTACTCAGACTGCCTTAACCGCACCCTTTTTTTTTTACAGACTAGTGTAAAATAATTGTACCATCACAAACCTCCCGAGAATCTCATTTCCATATTCTTATCGCTTATGTTTATTTTAAATAATGAAACACCGTATACAAGAAAGACAAGGAAAATAACGAATGGGGAAAAGGGGATGAATCTAACTTGCTGCCTACAACAAGGAACAAAAAGATTTCATACACATAATAAAGTTTATGCCTAAAATAAAACCAAACACAGAAAACACGATATCCTTAAACAATTAATTACGTCTATTCTATTGGGGTTGTAAATGTGTGTTGCTGTGTGTGCGTTGTGTTGTGGGCGTGTGTGTCTACGTCTGTCTGTGTGAAGCAAGCCGATTGATGGACGGTCTACAAACAGTACATCAGCATTTTTTCATTCGACGATAACATGACACACACATAATTACTACATTCCGACAATTGGATCTCCGATCAACGTTAAAAAATTTTCATTTAGTTTGGGGGTATAATACAGCGTGGTAAAAAAATAACAATATAACAATAGACAGAAAAGGGAAAAACTATGTATACGAAGGGAAATGGGGAGTAAATACATGTATAAGAAATGATGGGGTCTATTTTCTTTAGCAGAGCGTAATAGACAGATAACGAACAGTATACATATGTATATATAAAAAAAATAATAAACAGTGAAGGGGATAACAACTTGCAAATACAACCTATCCACTAATATATATTAGTTATAACGATAATAGTAACGGTGGTTGAGGTTGAGGTTTTGAGGTTGAGAGTTGTGGTAATGGTTGGTTGGCAGTAATATTTATAAAAACAGTCTCTCTTGTCTATCTATAAATGTTTATATATGCTCGACAAAACCTGAAAATAAAAAATCCATCATATGTGTTCGTTCTTTTGGTCCCATGACCTATACATTTCCATTTGCGTAAGCATTTCCTCGATGTTGCTACTGTTCAGTTCGAATTCGCCGTTCTGAGGATCCAGTAAAATCAAGTCTGGGTTTCCAGATGGGATGTTTAGAGGAAAATCCTTGTATCCTCCTTCTACGTCCCATGGGCAAGTGTTTTCCAATTCAGAAATTGTTATTGGCGATACGGGTAGATAGGTTGAGATTGGTGAGTATAAAGGAGTAGTGCTGGCTTCAGGCGTAGGCATGACCATGAGATAATTTTCTGGTGAAGACAGAGGAGATATCTGAGTGTCTGGAGATGAGGCCAGCGAAGGAGTTGTAGGCGAGTCCGTTGGTGTAGTAATGGTAATGTAAGTGGGTTCTTCCGTTCGCACTACTACAGTTTCTGTAGGATCCTCCACCGGAAAGCTCGACACCATGGCTCCCGAGCTCATAATCGGCGAGTATTGTTGGAATATTTGTCTTCTTACCGGTCGATAAGTATAACCCGGATATCTTATATGGTGAAGCCGTTCGGCTTTAGAAGATAGGTCATCATACAATTGTTTAGACTCTTTTGGAGCCTCCTCCCACAAATCGCGTGCTTTACGACACAGCTCGGGCATCTTGACTTTGAGATTCATTTCCCGCAATATCAAAAGTAAGGCATTTTTCATGAGGAAAAAGGAATTGGGAGGTCTGGGTGGACGGTCAGACGTTCTCCGTTCGGCGTTCTTTGTGTTGATTAGCAATTCGATTTTATATTTGGGGAAAAAGACGGCATTTTTATCCAGGTCGTCGGGAATTTTATGCGAAGTTCGACGGTTGTTGGATGCCGAGCGAGAGGAACGAGAACGAGAGGTTGGTATGCTAGTCGATGCGACTTTGTTAAGAGGGTTGCGTTGAAGTGCTGGGTTTTGGCGTGAGTTGGAAGCTTGTTTGATTGGAGGGTACATTTTGTTGTTTTGTTTTTGTTATCGTAGTAATAGTCGTTGCCGTAGTTTTTACCGTAGTTTTTGTTTCGAGTTTTTTAATCTAAGACGTGGTGCGGGGATACTGTTGTATCTATAATAGTTTTGTTTTGTTTTTTCGCAGTTGACGATAGATGTTCGAAAGTAGGTGTATGTAATATATCAAGTGTTTTAATCGAATGGTCGATAATTGCGAGTATAAAAGGTGTGCAGTATATAGAGATCGCTAAGCGTATCTACCGAAATGAGGTTTACCCAAAAATGTATTTTTTGAAATGGCGCAGTTTAGAGTATATATGTATTATACCTCTAATAAACAAAAGGCTAAGAATTTTTTGTAAATCACCGGTCGGATATATAAAACGCACAAGATTGAAATAAAAAGTTGTTATATTTGAACGTAGGCTTGATAAACCGGTAGAGCAGATTAATGAAGCTTAACCTTGGATATTTTCGTCCACAGGTACCTGAGTATTTATATTCGATGAGGGGTCGCACCAAACCATCCTCATCATGTATTAAATAAATTGTAAGTACTGTGTTCCACAGGTTCATTCGAGCAATGAATATATTTGCGTAATAAGTATAATACATACATATATTGCATATAATCTAAACAATATAAATAAATAGTACTAGGTGACAATAAAGAGGTTAGCACGAATGAAGGGATGTAATCGATTTAGTATTGTAGTTTTCCCGGTAGCAATTATTGTGTAGCCGATGTGCACAAACACAAGGTTTAGCTTGCTGCGGTAGTGTGAACTGAAATGCTCGATAGAAATTCCACAATAACTCGGGAACGAATAGACTATCCGTAGAACAAAAATAAGGAAAAAGTTGTATGAATGTGAATGCAACTAAACTTGTATAAATGCAACTAAACTTGTATGGATGCAACTAAACTTGGATGAATGCACTATACTTTGCCAAGTATTCTCAATCACTTTTTTACTAACCACCAACGCACCGACGCACCAAAACGCACCAAAACGCACCAAAACGCACCAACGCATCAACGCACCAATCCACCAATCAACCAACCCCAACCCCCCCCCTCTCTCCTTCTTTCCTTCCATTGGTATATACGCTTACGCTAGCATTTATTGTAAGAAACAATGGCAGTTTTATACATCATCTATTTAGTATGAATGGGTAATCCGAATGACTAAGATTTACAGCGGATGGTTTAAATAAAGCAGATATAGTCGGGAGGGGTCAAGGGGCGAAGGGGGGGGGGGGGGCCGTTGATGACCATTCATGCGTTTTACCATAGTTACTGATAAAGCAATAATCGGAGTCCCGAAACATATTGCTGTTCAACTGTCAGATGAATATTTTTACTTTACTGTCCGGAGCAAAAAAGAAAGATATACACAAAGAATTACACATTCAGTATGACAGCATCATGATATCAACAAACTGCACAGTGCTATCATCCAACATGTATTCTATACCGGGTGTTGTCTAATATTAGTCTCATGTTTACCTTGTCACATTGGCCCTGTGATGCCCCACTCTAGTTAGAACTGCTCGCAAGCTCTGGGAAAAAGCGCAAGTTCTGTCTAGACTGACTGGCCTTTACCTTAATTTTCCTGACCCTAACCCTCTTAACTGATAAACAAAACCCGTTTTCAAGGTTAGCTAACCATATGTGTCCATATCTCTCGGCAAATTCTGTACCACAATTCTTGGGGGAATTCCTGGTAATCTCATCTCGTTTTATTTTTAGAATCTACTCACGGCTTACCCAATCGAATCATCCAGCGAAGCAGGGCACAAACAGGTCAGACGCAGCATGGGGCAAAATCATAAAGCAAAGAAGCAAGGCATATGCTATTAATGATAAATATATATGCATATACTACGTCGATTTCCCTTAATATTTATGTTGGTGTAAGTAAACAAGACAAGCAAATAAATTTGCGTTTTATTTATTTTGTTTACAGTAAAATTCTGACACTGTTGTGTATATGTGCTTACCAGGGAAACAAAATACACTAATCGACATTGCTGTTTCAGAATTCAGCCATGCACCAACTGATTATCACATACTTAATAGAAGACACACAAATAGTATCATTCGAACATGACGCAGCAACCATGGACTGTTCCACAACTCGGAATCCAAACTCCATGGTACTTTTCGCTATTTGATAGGTTTAAACATCATGTCACAAAACGTGTGGATTAAGTGAAATGAAACAATCATGAGGCAAGCATAAGAGAGACTGGATGGGAACCCGTAAAAAAAAAAAAACTATTAAAGGTTCATTACCCAATTTCATTGTTGGGGTTTGTACGTATCCAATAGACATTAACTAATTCAACGTTCATTGTATTAATGACTCAGACTATAGTAGCTTGCCTTCATTTGTGTATATATCATCTTTAAAGGCAAATCTTACCGTATAAATTATATTTCCTACCACTCTTCTTTTCCTCTTCCTTTTTCCCTCCCACCCCCACCATTCCCTCCTCACCTCCCACCAACCAACCTCCTCACCTCCCACCAACAACCTCCCACCAACCTCCCACCAACAACCTCCCACCCCACCCCTTCATCCACCCTCTTTTCCCAAAAATAAAATTGGCATGACTATCCGAAAGAAGGATATGCAAACGCCGTAAATACAAAAAAAGGACTATGACCAACTCAAATTTTTATACATGCATGCCGATTATACATGTTAACTTTATTGCTCAAGACAATAGTTATACTACAATAACTATACATCATTCATACTTGAAACACATAAGTTTATGCGTTGCGCGATATGTACCGTCATATTATCCTACAAGTATGACAAGATGTAAATACCGTTTATTATAGTCAATGCTTGCTTTCCTCGTTCTTGTCACCCATGTTCATTTTACGTTTGTTGTCAATGTTTCAGATTTAGACAGTATCTGCCACAGAAAATATCGGAACAAATCAGAAACATTATATTTCTGCCCCCGTTCTCGAAAGAAGAGATGTGAATGTGTGAGAAAAATGCAGGCTCATTTGATGAAGGGTAAAATGACAAGTGTCTCATGATCACACCGCATGATATTAGTGGCAGGTGATCACATCAGCCACAGAATATGTCTAACCGCACACAAGCTCTTTAATTATTGATGTTTGGTTCTAACCGTTTCTATATACTACCTTCTCTATGGAATAAAGTGGTCCCCGAACAGGTATAGATTATATGTATGCTTTTATTCTTTGCCTCGACTCGTTCTTTGGTCTCGTTCTTTCCATCAAACATTGGAAGCTTGCAAGTCTTGGAAAGTGTGGGGGTCTTGTCTCATCCCCAAAAATAATTTTATTTCGTTTAGAAGCTGCATGCTCTTTCGTAATCATTACGTTTACAATCGTTTATCACTTTACGAGAGATGCGTTCTCGTTTCGCCGACCAAAAAAAAGGAAACAAAAGGATGCAGATGGCCTTATTTGTTCCATGATGTGATGATTGCGAATATCGGGCAATCGATAATGGGACGGAATTTTATTTTTATCTCTTCATCGCCATTTTCTGATTGACCTTTCGATTACCAATTAATAAAATAATGTTAATTATTTAATAATAATGCTTTATTAACTGCATTTTTCAAACACCCTTTCTCCCTGAAAATATCCTGACCCTAAAAAGTAATTGCTCAATTACGCAAGCTTTCAAACAATCGTTTTTTTCCGATTGTTATTTTTGGGCAGGTCATCTCGAACAAAAATTTCTAGTTTAATCCTACACAACTGTCAATTCGCTAATGGGAAATTGAATTAGTCTTCCTTACTTTTAGAGACAATCGATTGTAGAACAGCGTTTGTGCTTACAGGTAGAATCAATTTGTACTAGTGTTTTCGACAAACACAAAGCCCCTTTGTTTTTAAGTATACCAATAATATCATGTCATGTCATATTTACGCGTCAAAAGCATGTCATTGGACATATTCAATCAATCTCGACCAAACCGGTTTTAAACGCCTTGCTTTGCTTTTGATGGCATTCATGTAAACTAAACGGGAGATATCTACAAGAGGCGCACGCAGTTACCTGTTACAGGATCCTTTAATTCATTGTTCTTGCATACGAAACATTTTCATGTGCAAAAATGGGCGTTTTGTCAATGATTAATTCTCACGTTTACGCGTCGGAGATAATCGGCCGTCCCATAACAGTGTTTATGTAGACGAGTGTTCTTATCTTATGCTCTGCTTATAGGAACTAACTGTATAACAATCAAACAGAGTAAGTGTATGAGGTATACGTGCATATACTATGAATACAATACCCACACCGTTTGTATCAGTATATATTATTTACTACTTTTTAGGTTACGACGTTAGTTCGGGTATCTTTTATTGACGAATGAACAAAGAGGACAAAGATAGCATACTGGTAAGTAAAATATTATTCGTACATTTATCAAAACTAGCTAATTTTGTACAAATAGATATACAAATGTTTAGAACAAGCCTTCTCCGAGACTTGTCTAATTAGACAATTTATCAATAACAAACATGGAGTACGTACGCATGTACTCGTAAAAAATTGCCTTGCGTTTATATTAGATATCGGCTTTACCTCGGGTTTAATATACGTGTATTCGCAAATTTCTTTTTTAAGATTATAAGAGTCTTTTTATTCCTCAGAGTTTGAAAATTTGTGACAAAAAAAGTAAAACTTGTGTACAAAATCGATTGTTTGGTCGGTTGAACTGCGCGCACAATGACCAAATCTTATTGGTTTGTGTGACCTGCACTCTTAGAATCTTCCCAAATAGATGCATCTAATAATAGATATATTGGTCGCACTGCATCTCAGCTGATGTCAATTTAGTACCAAATTTACGGAATTGAAATTCCGATATCAGGAAATACAGCATTCTAGGCTCATATTTAAGCCAATGCCGTATATTCAGATGCAGTAGTATATTTCGCGGTGCATACAATATACAAAGTAAAACGGATGAATGACATTAAATAATACAAATACCTG